ATATATATATATGTATACAATATGATAGGCTATACTATCAGGCTGTACTGAATACTATACTTTAAAATCTTTGTCCGGTTTGGATTTTCCCTTTACATGTATTTTAGCAAACTTTCTGTTCTGCCAGTGTTGCTTGCCTCTTCTTCTTGTTCACTGTTTACTCCCATCCATCTCCATGCCTTTTTTTATGACTTCTATGCTTTTTTTCACTGCTTTTCCTGAAGTGATTCACAGCTTCCCTCTCTTCTCATGCACAAATCCAAGATACAGAGGTTGCAAATGTGCATCAATGCTATAAAAGAATTTCCAAACTTGTTAAATATGCATGAGAGGAAAAAAAGACTTATTTAAACAGTTCCTCATCTAATCACAGTTTATTCTGAAGTTTTGAAATGTGTGCTTATAGCTTAAAAAAACCATAACCCTCTGTGTTATGGTTTATGCATTTTTGTCTGTTGTCATAGCCCTTTCCTACCATCTGCTCTTCTCAGAAAAGCATTGGTCATGGGAGATGTCCGCCCTTCTTGTGGCATTTGATACTTGCTGCTTGGTGGCAAACCATCAGTTGGGATTCCTGTCAGTTTCTTGGGTTGTTGGCACTCAGTGAATTTGCCTGCAGCATTGTTTTGTATGGGTTAGTCTTCAAGGAAATAAAACAAGCCTTTCCTGTGTGTCAGATTTGTAGAAGTAAATCTTCAAAAATAAGTGGTTTATTTTTTACTTGTAGTAAAGAAAAAGGGTGCATTATTAAGAAGCTGGAAAAGACTGCTGAAGAAAAGCATAAAATAAGGAAATGCAAGCTTTAAATATTTTTATATCAGTTTCTTGGTCTAATTGTATATGGTGCAGTAGTTATCACCTAGGGATTTCTGAGACAGGTGTCAAGTCCAGAGTGGTTTTCTGTTCTTTGATTATTTTTTTTTTGTCTTGCTCATATTTTTACTCATATTTAGAGCTTTTTTCCCTACCCTTTTTTTCCCCTCATCCTCCTTTTCTTGCCGAGTCTGAACAAAATTTCAGATTGCATCTCAGCAACTCTAGCTTCTTTGCTAACATAATGGAACCTCTCTCGTGGTATAACCTTTATTTAGCTGGAGCTGCTCCGAGGTCTGAGAGAGTGCTAATTGCCCTTTAATCTTGGTTCATAACAAGGTTCATAGTTCTCTGATTCTACCCAGGTCCTTGCTTGTTCTGTCTCATGAAATCAATTGACTGCATTCATCAGCTTTAGTGTTACTGTGTTTTTTCAGGACAGCTTAACTCACAGGAGACCTTCAGAATCTTGCCCTGTGTTCATTATGTGTGCAGTCTTCTGAGATAAAGGCTGTATTTCTGCTGGAGTTTAGCTTCTTTGGTGCTCAATATAAGATGGAAAAAGAAAAATATCTGATGACAATAACAACAACTTCTGCAGCCTGAGAGAAATTATACCTTTTTTTCTCCTGGCCAGCTGCTGGAGCTAGCTGAGGTCTTACATTCTCTTATTTCTGTGTGATAGGAGCTGACAGCAGTGGTGTGGAAGATGACGGGTGTCAACAGGATAAGCAGATTGCTGGAATTTATCAGCTGAAAGAGTGGGAAAGGGCTTTTAGCTGCTTTGCTCTTGGTTTTATTAGGAAAAACCCATTACACATACAGAGAAATAAGCTGGAAAATTAGAGTGGGTATTTTGCTTCTCTAACTTACCTTGCTCTTGATAGTGGAAAGGGACAACCCCCAGAAACCCACACACTGTAGTACATATTTATCCAAGAGTGTGGGGAACCAGTTGAATGTAGAGTCGTGTCCAAGTCTGAGCACCTTATCTAGAGATGTGTGTTGAACTCCTGACCAAGTAGTGTTCATTGCATGCTCAGCTGCTTTATTAGAAGTAATTGGATAATGTGCATTTTATAACCCCCCATTGGAGACCATGAGATTAATGTCCTACTAGCTCTAACTTTAATAAGCTAATAAGACTAACCAATTACGTAGCTGCAGTTCTGTAACACCTCCTGAGAAACATAATTGTTGTGGTGCAAAATGAATTAAGAGCATAGATTAAATGTTACTCATTTTTTTAGTTTTAGATATTTGCTTGCAGACAAAAAATGGTAGCCAGATAGCTGTGGTTAGGACTTTTTGTGAAGCACTATTAATATTTGAGTGTCTAAACATCCCAGTCTGAACATGTTGCTTTGTTATTTTTTTTGTCCTGTATTTAATTGTTCAGCAATAAAAATATAGCACTCTTTATTTTAAAGCCCATAGGTATGTATGCAACAGTGCAAAGGGAAGAGTTTTGCTTATGTTACCAGAATTGCCTTTTCCTGGTTTTCAGGCAAGAAAGTTGTATGTTCTTTTGCAAAGTTTTAAACTTGGGTACATCATCTGAATTCTGAAGTCAGTAAGGAGAGTAGAAATGAAGGGCGGGGAAGGGTTTTTTTGTTTTATTTTAGTGTTTTTTTGTTTGTTTTTAAAATTGTAGGATTCAGCTCTTTGTCTCCCTGAAATAGTTAGCTCTGTTGTGCCTGGATCTCCATGGGTCTTTTTCTTACAGTATTAAATATCTGTGACTTCTTTTTTTCTGTGGAGTGGTAGCAGTGCACTGAATAGATTAGAAAGAGAAGAGACCAGTAGAGGAGGCTCATTATAAGAATATGACATAAAGAGGGGTTTTAGCTTCAGTATATAAATTTTGGTCCCAAATAGAGTTATTGCTTGTCCTGATTTCCCTCTGCTCAATATTAAATATACAGTTAAAATTGGAAAACAGTAATAGAAAATTTTGCATTGTTTTAAACTGATTTTATTTCAGTTCAGTCACTGGAGCAAAGAAGAGGAGATGTAACAGCTTGTTTTATGCATGCTAATAGCAAATGTTCTGCAGATCAACTGTGACAGCTGGAATCTCCAGCAGCGTTTCTTCTCTGCTCTGTTTTTCCTGATCAGCATAGAAATCTTTGAGACTCATGAGTCTGCATACAGAACTTCTCTGTTTAGTTTAAGAGAGTGAGAGTGACTAAGCAGTAGAGAGTGAGGTAGGTCACCACGTGAGATTTCTATAGCTGCAAAGCATATATGAGTAAGTTGAACGTTTGACTTTCATTAAAACTAAAAGCAGAGTCTTTCAAAATACCTGCCATAATGTTTAAGGAAACGCTTGGAATTTCCAAGCTACACTTAATAGCATGATAGCTGTCTGTTGTTTTTCCCCCCCCTAACTTTTACTTGAAGTTAACGGTCCTATTTGGACCAACAACCAGCTTTTAAGTTTATTTCTAGATTCTACTTTATTGCTGTGTTTAAAACAATGAAAATTATATTTTCTGTATGTGAGCTAAAGATGTTACAGTTCAGTCTTGCTTTTTAAAACTCAAACACATGTATGAAGCTGTGCAATTATGAAAATGCTACAAGACTTAGATTATTTTTTAAAACATCCATATCAACTGGGTTTTTTGTTTACCCCTCAAATATATTCAGTGTGTATGATGGCAGGACAAGTTTCTTCCCACATGGTTTGACAGTAACCCAGGGCCTGTTAGAGAGTGAGTCTGTATTCATGATCATGTATTGGTGATCCCCTGACCCCTGGCATCAGACTTTAATTCACTCCTTTCTTTCATTACGGTTTGAAAAATTCTCACCGTGTTCCTTCAAAATTTCCAAACCTGAATTCCTGAATGCAAATAGTATTAAATAGAAGAAGGTAATTCACATAGCATTGTTAGTAGGCATGGAAGTGGGTTTTGTTTATGCACACAGTTGTTGGCTGTGCAAAGGTATGCACCTCTGGAATAAGATATGCGGTATGCGTGTCAAGTTTTTCACTTTTTAAGCAATTGAACCCTGAAGCCCTAACTGTATCTTTTCCCCTTACGCTGTGTGCCTGTGCAAAGATGTGGAAAATATAAGTCAAAATTTCTCTAGAGACTAGAGTTTTGAATGCATCCTGCACAGTCTTCCTAAAGTGGAAAATATAGGAAAGAAAACTCGGCAACAGAGGCTGACCAAATACAGAGCAGAACACGATGACTAAAATGCCTGTTTGTCATTTAGGATTATCTGGATGAAACAGAAGAAGATATTGATGACATAGTGGCCTCTCGTTATTCAAGGAAACATGGACATTTGACAAGTGGATTATCAACAGTAAGATCTTTAGTAGAAAATATACACTTTTTTTTCTTCCACAAAAAACCATTGTTCTTCCGAAAAGAAGTTCAACTTCATAACGCTTAGCAGCAGATCATCCTTCATCCTGCACTTGAGAAACATCCTTTAACATTTAGATAGGTTTTCTATTATATTTTTTAATGCTATTCAAAGCTAAAATGAAGTTCTCTGCATCACATGGAAAGAAAAAAACATTTTGCATGTTTTTACCTGAGGTTACTACCAAGCTGACATGTGGAAAAGGAAAACCATAGATGTTTGCAGTACATGACTGCTCAGCTTTGCAGAGCAGCTCTTAATCTTTATTTACTTGAAGAGATCAAGGCTGTGGGGGGAATCTTCTGTTTCAAACCACTTTCTGATTGTCCAGGTTCTTGGGACCAACTCGTTTGTGTGTTTGCATAAATACCACTTCTATGGCATCATTGTCCATTGCACAACCCAGCTTCTCCCCTTGTTCATTACTTGATTGCTATGGCACCCACATCTGAAAAGTATTTATCTTTACAGTGAGGAGGGAGATACTTTAGGAGAATTTGTTTGGTGACAACTTTTCTACCTTCTGCAGTAATTGTAGTATTTTTCAGTTGTATGCTTTTGATTCTTTTCATACCCACAAACTATATACTGTAAATCACGTGTTTGTTACTGTTGTGACTTCCTGTTGGTTTTAAAATGATACCTACATTTTCAGGTTGTAACAGGTGTTTGAGACGCAACAAAATTGGTGTAACAAACCTTATGCAGTACATATGCAGTCTGTTATTCACTGGGAAAGAAAAATGATGATGAAAGTAGCCTTTAACATGTCTAGTTTATTACTACCTCCTGTGTACCTCATTTTGGAGATCTGACACTTTTATTTGTCAGGTCAGGGATGTAGACAACTGAAAGCATCCTCAGAAAAGTCACAGAGCCCTTTCTGGTCACTCTTCTTCACGACTTGTGCCTAAGAATATGTCTGGTCAGTGTATAGAATACCAGAAAACCACAACAAAATTCAGGTAGAAGATGAGAGACTCGAAGAGGATAAAAAGATGAGTCTATATGCTGAAAGGGAAGAGAAAAATTGGTCCATGAGAGTAATTAATGAACTGTCCTTTCTAGACTGCATCCCCACTAGTCCCCATGCAAGCAGGACGCGGGGAATGCCCACTTAAGTTCTTGATCCCAAAAAGATGGAGTTGGCTGAATCCAAGCTTGGCTTACCTGGAGAGAAGAAAGGGCTGAGAAAATGGCCTTTGGAGCATTTTGGTATCTTAGATCTGGCCATGTCCAGACCCTTTTCCTTTCGAATCTGTGTAGTTCACCAAAACAGGCACAACAGAGATTTATGGCACTTCACACCAACTCAGGCTTGAGCAAATGTAGCCTGTTGACATTGATCTAAATAAACCTGCTTACCCGAGGTTGGCTATGACTCATTGTCTCTATGTCTCCATTGCTTGCTGGTCACACAGATTTTATAGACAGAGTTCTTTTTATGTTTTCTGAATATTGATATGAGGGTTGCAGGTGCTTAAGTACTTTCTCTGGTTAGGCCACTAATTGAGGAACTCAATGTAGAGAGACTACTGCAGGCAGCATTCTGTCTGTGCATTGGGTTTTGTCCTTTGCCGTAGATTTCCCTGTGACCTTTTCCTTAAGCAGAGCGTAGCTTTTCCACTGCTGTAGGTTTGTGATAATCTAACATCTCAGTGTTAGATAATCTAACATCTCTCATTTCTCTGTATTCACCATGACATGGTTCTTTATGTCTCTGCAATGCTACATTAATGGCAAAGTTACGAATGGCAAGCTGCTTCTCCCTGCAAGAGCAGGTCAATTTTACAGGTTCTTTTTTTTTATTTCACTGAATTGCATGTTACTATTTACTAACATTCCCCTTTTCTCTTATTTTCCCCTGTACTCTGCTTGACGCAAGCTTTTGAGCCTTCTGCGCTGTCCAGATTTTTTCATGTACTTATCTGTCAAATGATTGTGCGCTATTAAGTCACATTGAAATAATGTTATTATTAATCAACAGTAGGCTCTAACCAGATGGTTCTTCTTTGTTTTTGTTTTTGTTTTTTTTTTTCATTTTAGAATATGAAAAATTAAAGTACAGTATAGGTACTCTGACACTGAGCACTTGAGGTAAAGGAAGAAATATCTCAGAGCAAAGATATTTGATATCTACCTGTAACGTGAGTGGTCACAAATGGAAATGGAAAGTAACATTGAACAGAAACTGCATCTCAGCATTAGGGTATTATTCTTTGTGTTTTCCCAAAGTTAATACATGAACTGCATAATTAATTTTCCCTGCATCCTTCACTGATTCCTCTCTAAACAAATCAATGTGGTGTTGCCAAGACCCGTCACATCAGTAAGACTGAATTGTTCCTGTGCCTCTCTGGAGTGATAAGATACGATGCAGAACAAGTATAGTTCTTAGTGAGGTACTAAAATGAGTCTCTCCATCCTCCATATGTGGTGCTTGTTTACTATTGATGAAAGTGGAAAATGAATAGATTTCTAAGGACATTGCATTTAGCATATATGATATTCAGTGCAAATGCCACAGAACAGGCTGTGGGGGGAAAAAAAGTCAAGTATATCAAATGCTACTGCATTTATGTTATCTGTTTGTGGTTTGAAGCAATTCAGAAATTGTATTTGCATTAATTTTAGGGTCACAAATCATCTATTTGTTTAGGACATTCTCCTGGGGTTTTTTCCCAGTGATTTATTCCTTGCTGCCTACCTACCTGAAGATCAAGAAAAAGAATATTCAGATTCAGAAATTAAAAATTCATCCACCTCCTCATGTTGGTATGACTTTGTTTTCTGAAATGGGCAAACAAATTGTTACTTTCCTGTTACAAGGATAATTTAGGCATTTTGTAGCACAGACCAAGACTGTTAACAGTGTCCAAGGACACCCATTTCCATGTGTGCTAGCAGTGGAAATGCATAAATGGTAAAGGCTGGGATTTAGCTTGAAGCGTGTTAGAAACAGGAAGAAATATGACGTGTATCGGTGTGTGTTGCTACTTCTCCAGTAATCTTAACCAGTCCTGTGTGTGGAATTTCAGCCAGTTGTACAATTGGCTGTACAATTTGACATTTATTATTCCTACATGATGTATAAAATTAACTTTATGGATAATGATTGCTTGTTCTGGTTTTTCATGTCTGCTGTAGTTTGTCCTATTGAGACAGAACTGCTTATCCCTCCAGCTTTCTTTGCTGCAGGGCCCTTTAGCAAGGCGCTTAGAGAGTTAAGTTTTGCCACAGACCAATTCTTTTTTGTGTGGCTCTTCCCCTTGACTGTGCTCTTCCTTTCTCCCTGCAGCTGATAAGGAAGGAAGTAGATCAAGGTGTAGATTCCCTTGAGGCCATTGGTGAAATTTCTAGATACTGCTCTGGCAATCAGAGCCGGGGAAATGTATCCTCTAATATTCTATTACTGTATTTTTTCAAAGAGTGACATGTTTAAACGTTTCTGTATGTTTTTATCTATTCTTACAAACTTCACAGGGAAACTGCGATTTCTCACAAAGGTGCTGATCCTGCAAATACATGAATGCTTAGCTTTTGACTAGCTTAAGTGAGGATTGACTTCATGCACACAGAAATTAAGACAAACCCGAATACGATCCAATACAAATCCAAGTCTGCTGAGTTCGTGTTCTAAAACGTAATTTGTTTATTTTGATACAGCAGATACTTCATTTCTATTTAATTACCTCAAGCCATGCATCCTTCAATACTTGAACTGTGTGGAAAAGGCCTAGCATTTTTCTGATTTGGTGATACCTTTTTCTCTCTTTCTCACTATGGCTTTGCAATCCTTTACCTTGTCTATATATGTAAAGATTTTTCACTGCACTTTTTCATTCTTTTTTCAGCTATCTAATGCTCTTTTCTCTTGATCTTTTGTGCTGCCTTTAAAGAATTCTCCAGAAGGCTCTGACAGAAAATGGACCTATTTAAATGTGCCTGAAACAGATGGTGATACTGTGAGTTCTCCTGAATCCTCTGCTTAGCTTGCTTTTAAGGTTTCTCTTGCTTTTCTCTCTTCTTGTTGAAGACTGTGCCTGTCTGTCTTGCAAGGTTCCTGTGTGTTAGGATTTAGATGGTTATATATGTTTTTGAACGGTCTTGCTCAATGGGTCGGAAGAAAACCTTCACCAGATTTCTCGCATGCCTTTGGTTCTGACAGTGTGCATATTGCTCTGGTATTCTTTAAAAACATATAGTTATTTCCTAATTATATTATTTTAGAAGAAGGAATTCTCATAACAATACTCTGCACGATATGAATGAAAAAGAAATCCAAGAGTGGTATGTTACATTGCAGTGAAAATTTTGTGGGATTACTGCTAAACCTTTTTGGCTTTAGGAAAACTGCAGAAATGGTGGGTAGTGAATTTTGCTCATTCTTTTAGAATTGCTAATGAGAGGTGAGTGTCACTTTAAACAGACATAGGTTTATACCATCTCCATTATGGGAAGCATCCTTATGACTTTTTCCAGTGGTTCTGTCAGCAGTTGTCTTATGACACTCAGTAAAAATTAGGTGGACAGCTGAGCCAGAGAGGTGATTTTAATTTTTTTTTTCCTTTTGGAGCTTATGTGAGCTTACAATTTATGTAGCCTGTCTGCTCTTCAGTTCATGTATGAATTAAGTGGTGGTAATTTAGATTTAGTCATGTTTATAAATAGGCTTGAGTCCTACATAGGAAAACATAAACTGTCTAGACATTTAAGTTATTAAATATAGTTCTTATTCCCTTTTACATCAAGTGGTAGTGTTTCTGTTCTATGATATATCTGTTTTCATAGCAAGTCCTAACAATATTGGAAGGCTGTAGCTGTATGAAAAATGCAGATTCTGGAAAAAAATAATTTGTTTAAACCTCTAAATTCTTTTTCTCTCCTCCTTCAGACTAGCATTAACAGCATGATGAGTGTATACAGTGAAACTGGTGACTATGGCAACGTGAAGGTCAGCGGTGAAATCCTTCTCAATATCAACTACAGCTACAAAACAGGTGCCCTCAACATCCTTGTGAAAAGTTGCAGAAACCTGGCTGTTGCAGATGATAAGAAGCAAAGGACTGATCCGTAAGCACAAAGAATCTCCTTTTAGTCTCTGCTGAGGTGTCCTCCACCACGTCATGAGCTGTAGTCAGTGACATAGCCTGGGGTTGTGATATGAGCCTGAAAGCTCATAACAGCCAGTTGCTACAAGGCAGCATTCTGATGATGGTTCATTTTGGAGTCCCTGTAGGAAATGCATTTTCAATACATTTATTGAAACACGCACAACATGTGCCTGTTCTGGGGAAGCAAAAGGGCAAAAAAAAAATGAAAGAGCAAGGAGGCTGAATTGATTGCTTACTTCTAGAATAAAAACTAATGTATGAGAGGAGTGATGTTTTGGGAGGAGGGGTAGAGATAGCTTTGGTTTCATGCATCCATAGATTCGCTTCAAAAGGGCCATGTTTTCTGAGCTGCTCATTTGCAGTTTTCAGTATAATATGTAAATTCTCTCATCAGGGAGTTGTAATTAGTGTCTCTAATCCTGTGTAATCCTATTGTATGTAAGGTGTGAAGTTTTTAATTCTCTTATATATTCAGTGTATGTGTTGTCATATGTAACCAGTCAATAATTGTATACTACAAAAGAGAAAGCTTTCTGCATTTCTGACAATGAGTAAATTAATTTAGCTCTACCTTTTCTTATTCTGATCCTATGTGACTAACATTGCTATGTTTGTTGATAAAGCCTATGCCTTTTCATGTTTCACATATTCTCTGTTACATGTGTACATTATTTAGACTGCAAAAATTAATTTCCCCATATGTGTTGCTAATGCAGCAATGTCAGGTCCTTGCTCAAACTGCTAATGTTTTATTCCTTGATAATAATTTACTACTTGATCTGCAGATACGTCAAAGCATACCTTCTGCCTGATAAGTCCCGCCAAAGTAAACGCAAGACCAAAATTAAAAGTAACAGCACCAATCCAGAATTTAATGAAATTCTGAAGGTGAGAACACTGTCTCTCTCTCAGGCTGTGATGAATGTTCTCCTTGTGCTCACAGGCATTTTCTATATGTGTTCCAGTGTGGGGATTAGGTTTTGGAAGAAATACCTCAAAAGGGAAGGTATTCAAGCAAAACCACATAGTAATTATATGAGTTGTAATTTCTGGCTTTCAGCATTAAGTAAGTGTTTTTGTTTGTTTCTCTCCTTTACAGGTAAAACTTCTATTAGCTTCTATAGATCTCTTTCAAAACTATTGATGTTTCCATCTAACCTGAACTCAGAGTTGCTAAAAGCACCTTAAAGATTTTGTGTGCCAAAATTAGCTGCTGCTGAAGTAGAGCTAGCTTAATTCCCATCTACCTGATTTTGAAGAGAAAACAAACTTTTGCTCTAAGATCTGTATTTCTCTGGAGGTTTTAATTTACTTCTAAAGCAGAAATGAGTTTGGTAAGAGAATGCCAACAATAGATTCACTACCTGCCTTCCGAAAAGGCTGTGCTGAAGTTCATTTTCTGTTGCAAAAGACAATGACAGATTAGTGCCTTCCTCTGTTTCTGTGAGGGTGACAGAGCACTGGACCAGGCTTCCCAGAGAGGTTGTGGAGTCTCCTTCTCTGGAGACATTCAGAACCCACCTGGACGCGTTCCTGTGTGACCTGGTCTAGGTGATCCTGCTCTGGCAGGGGGGTTGGACAGGATGATCTTTCAAGGTTCCTTCCAACTCCTAATATTCTGTGATTCTGTGATTCCTTGAAGACTTGTGGAGCACAATGCCCAGGCTCTTTCCTTCCTTGCCTTTTACCCACGTCTGCCAGAGAGGCCAAACTATTTTGAGCTCCTCACAAGATGCTTATTCACCTCCTTGGCTCTGTGGTTCAGGTGGGAATGGCAGAGTTTCTGCTCAGTTCGTTGCCTGCCTGGCACCTGGACCACAAGGCTCCTGGTGATTCCCCTTCCTGTCATTTGATGAGAGTTTACCCAGCCAGCTATCATGAGGCCAGAAATTCCTTTTAGTTTCTCCCAATTACTTTTTTTTTTTTTGTAATTTCAGTAATGTTTTAAGTAAGTTGCTTATAATAGAGGCCAATAGATGTTCCCTAGCCAGTACACATGGCTTAACTGGACTTCAAAACCATTTTGCAGACTTACACACGCTTGGTCTGGCCAGACTGCTTGCCAAGGGAGAGTCTCTTGTGTTGCCTTATTTTTAAATGGTTTATAGTAAGTGTAAGACTTGCCTGAACTGGAAAAAAGGTGTTAGACTCTGTTTAACAAGGAATATAGCACTAACCGTGTTTGCTTGTAGAGAGCTCAGTGAGGATAGGACCTAGCAGCCTGCTAAAAATGCAAATTTTAATGAAGAAGGCTCACTTGAATTGTGGGTAGGTAAGCAAGAAGTACAAGTGTTCGTCCCAACTATAACTCTTGAAAAATAATTAAGTTTGGCTGTATCTTTCCTCTTTGACTTTCATTGTATTGTTGCTAAATACGTCTCTCACAGTGCAAGTGTTGCCATCCAGGGTTAAGCATTGTAGACAGATCTCTACATGAGTAGCCTAGTATGTGGCTTGCCAACTGACTTGATTGTTTCAGCTTTTGGAGAATATGTGTTTGTGTCCAGAGATTGTTCATGATGCAAAAAAGCAACATCTGGGTCTCTTCAGCTAACACTGGGAGAAGGATGAATTTCAGAGAATTAATGGGCCTTTTGCTAAATGCAGAGTGTGCAGAGCTAGAATTCCAGATGTTTATAATTTGCTAGAATATGATGTTTCTTCAGAGGAGTTTTTTAATAGTTTTCAAAACCAGCAATGGTTGCTAAGACTGATATGCTTTGTGCATGCTTTGCAAATGCAGTTTTACTTGTTTTCAGAATCATTTTTCATAGGTTACAAGGATAAAACTGAAAATGAGAAGATGCTATTTCTAGAAAGTAGTGTACAGCAGACTCTTTTTAAGGATGAAAGAGACAGTGAGGTTTCTTCTTACAAACTAAACTTTGATGTTGATCTGCTTCTTTTATGTAAACTTATAAGGAATTAATAGGATAGTTTTAAGCATCATTATTTACTTTATAGTCATAAATACCCAGTAAATAATACAGAAAAAACCACAATAATTATAGTAACATTAATTACCATTGGATGTGTACTGCAAAGAAGAGAGTTAGGTTTAACATTAACATTATGGGCTTTCTGCTTGATCGATCTTGCTTGCAAAGAAAACAAATCTCTCTTTCATGCTTCATTTGTTAGCTGCTGTGGGCTTTGTGAAATTGAGCTAGAGCTGTAAAAGGCTCTGTGGAAACTATTATTTCTGCTTATTCTGAGAATTTCTTCTTCCCTTTTTCTCTTGGTAGTACATCATCAGTCACACACAGCTAGAAACCAGGACCCTGCAGCTTTCTGTCTGGCACTATGACAGATTTGGACGCAACAGCTTCCTTGGGGAGGTGGAAATTCCGTTTGATTCCTGGAACTTTGAAAACCAGGGTGATGAGTGGTTTGTGCTCCAGCCCAAGGTAGGGGTTTCCAGGGGGCAGTGAAAGTGCTGCAAAGCAAATTTAGCAAACCTTAGTTATTTTGTGTTGGAATGTGTTTATAAAATGGTGACTTTGGGTGTCTAATATGGTGATTAAAATAATACCTTTGTTCTCTATTCAGTCAGAATATATTGGTTTTAAAGTCTTTGTGAAAACTTTACACTTGTTTAGTTACTTAAGGACAAACAAAAACCCCTCACCTTTTAAATAAACTGTAAGTTCATCTTCTAATAAACTGCAATGGAGAAATGACCCAGTAAAAAAATTGATTATTTTTTAAAAATAGCAGGTAAGCCAAAGGACTTTCCTATCACTCCCCGCTACCTAACCCTTAACAGTTTATTAAAGAAATAGATCTTTTATTGCTTCAGTTCAAAGTGTTTCACTCTTCTCAGCTGTGACAAAATGATTTATTAATCTCTTACTCACCTTAGCTGGGAAGGTGGAAGATAAAGCTTCTCAGCAGGCAAATCAGTTGGTCTGTGAAACAGGACTTGCATTATATCTAGCTAAGGACAGGATGGCTTTGGTCTTTGGGGCGCTCCTTGTTTTAGCAAAGGTGTTTATTTTTGGAAGAGATTCAAAGAGCTATTGTAAGCCGGAGGATTAAAGGCTTCTCTCCTGCAGCAGCCAGAATCCCCAGAAGTTCCAGTGGCTTAGCTTGTCATTTCAGAAAGTGTATTTTTCCTGCTGCAGAAAAATCCATGGTTTTACTGAAAGTGATGTGGAGATTAGACTCAGATGACTTATTTGCTCTGTGTTCATTATTTTTAAGGAAATAGTGTTACATTCTGGGTTTTAGGAGGGAGTGTTTGATTTGGTCCTCTCAGGTGGGAGATGGATCGGTTTGCTGTAGTTTCTAGGTATAGCCCTTTTGTGAGCTTTACACCTAAACTGTCACAGATTTGTGTTTTAGTAAATAATTTGCCAGAAGATACATAAGGAAATTGGTCTCTTCTTTGCACACCTACACAGCTCACACTTAGTAAGTGGCAAGTAAGATGATTCTCAGTTTCCTAGTTAGGCTTTGTTAAAGAGGGTGACCATGAGCTCTTCCTTACTGGTCCAGACAAGGTGAGACCAGGAAGAGAAAGTGGCTAATGATGGCAGACATGGTTCAGTCAGCACTGTGTCCAGGCCAGGATTATACTGTCCTCTTTACAAGCTCACTTCTTTTAAGTTGCTTTTGTTGGGTCTGCTCTTGAAGCAGAAGAAATGTCTACTACATCTCCATCATAGCTCTGCCTGGTGTCAGATGTTGCTCTTATTTGGTACCCATGGGTCTACAACAATAAGATACACATCTAGTACTGGTTTGGCTTGCAGTCTTTATGCAACATTGGTCTGAAATGGAGCTTCTTGTCATGCAGTAGTCTCTTTGTCATCTCATTTCAACCTTTGGGGACTGGTGTGTTTATGGGTGGTTTCTTTCAGTCCTGAAAAGGGAAGGGGGCATGGTATAGAAAAGGCAGTCATGAAGCTCTTGTGCTCAGGAAAAAAAAGTAATGAGGCACTAAGTGTTTCAGCCATTCCAGCTGGAAGATGGCTGATTATTTCCAAATCTATTAAAAGGATTTTAAAACTAGTTCCTTTTTACCAAAGAAAGCAAATGCAGAATTGGTCTTGTCTGACTCCTAAGATTATAAATAATGTTTCTAGACTTAAAATGCTGCTGAGATTTTTGATTGGCAAAGATAATGTTTTATAAATATAAATTTATTGCATTTTGAATTTTTTAAAAAAGCATAGGTTAATACACATGCAAACTACATGCTGTTCTCTGATATGAACTGCCTGATAGAGACAGGAATGGTAGTGAAACATTTTCTGGATTTTATTACAGCACTTTATTTGTTCTATCATGAATCATTTAGCTGCTTTAGTGAAAAGGTTGGAGACTTTAAGACCTATTTATTCTATAAGCATTGAATGCCTGTTTTCAAGAGTTCTGTGGTTAAATCAGAAAAAGAAGAGAAAATAGTTCTGTGGCTAAAGAAAGGGCAAAGTCTAGAGCCATGTTACACATGGGTTTGGGGGAGAGATTGACAAATTGTTCCTGACATAAGAACTTACACCATCACTTGACCACCAGTAGAACAGAAAAAATAATCCTTGCTGCCTTTATGGGAAACTTGATCCTAAACTTAAGTAGTTTAGACCATAAGTGAGCTGGCAAGGTTTAGATGTTGTGCAGATTATTCCACAGCCATTTACTACAGGTTTTCTTTTGTCCTCTGCTGAAGCAACTGGCATCAGACAGTGGTGGAGACGGGACCATTTTTCTCAGCATCAGTGCAGAAATGCTTGTCTTGCTGTAAAAGTGCTTCCAAGTCTCAAAAGAGCCATGATGTTGTCACTGAAATTGCTTTGTTCTGTGTCATTCTTGTATACAGCTTTAGACCTACTAAACATGGTTAGTGCCTTAGCTTGCAGTCTGTGATATGAAGACAGGGCTGACTTTGTGTACCACAATATGTATTTCTGCTTGGGGGTTTTTGTTCTGTTTGCTCTTGAATTTTGACCTTCCTGGGGAGTCAAGAAACAAGCTGAATGCATTTCAGAGAAATGCTGTCACTAATCATCACACATTCATCTATAAGCAGTTCTTTAAAGGCTCATGTGGTACCTTGGTGTGTGTCTCTCAGCACTTGAATGTCCTCTGTCTTTATATGTGTCCTTTGTCCCTGTTGGGAGATCAGGAATATTTATACCCAAACCTAACCACTGACACACATACAGAAATGTGAGGATCTGAGTAGTCCCACCTTCATTAGTGGACATCACCGAGCAAGGTTAGCATATGCCTGAGATTTTCGTAGACCTGGTTGCTGATGTAAATGTACAGGGCTTCTTTTTTCACTGTATTTTATTTTTCTAGAAGTCAGTTTGAAGTGGCATAACATGTTCTCTATGTTGCATCTATTGTTTTAAAAATGCATTTTCCAACTTCTTACAGTACGAATGGAAGTTCAGTACACATCAGTGAAGGCTCAAAGTTCTTTTAACAAGGATGCCCTGAAAAGCACTGAATGTGTTTTTTCTGGGCAAAATTCAAACATTTATAAAACAAAAAGATGCAGAAATAGTAGCTGTGTGGAAAAGGAAAAGTATGCTGGGAATAAAAATTTCCAAGAAATTTTTGAATTTCAGATCTGGACTCTGCTCTCTTCCCTTGCCTTGGTTCCCCACACCTCCATTCCAAGACTGACTCAGGAGTGACTTCTCTAAAGTGCATTATACCTATTGCAGTTTAAAATCCTGTCTGGGAAAAATAAGGACTGAATGTCAGTGTAAATTAGCTACAGTTTATGTGTCCAGAAAAAAGTTAGAGGGGTTTTTTCTGTTTGTTTGCTTCACTTGTTCATGCTAGACATCTCTCTCCTCTATATGTTCACTGAACAGTGTCTAATGCCACATGGCTTTATTATTCCAAGAGCTTGCATTCCCCAGCTCATAAAGTTTTATAACATGATTGCATTCAATCTGGAATGTCTAATTATCTGAAAGTGGGCTGGTACATCTTGTTATGTTTAAGAAGCGTTTCAAACACTATATTGGTACAGCAAAATTAAAAGCAAAAGGAGAAAGTGAATGATTAACCTTAGCTAGATTTCTGGTTGGTTTGTTTGTTATTTTTCTTTTCAGGTGGAGGTTGTGACAGATGTTGGGCTTCAATATAAAGGAGAACTGACAGTTGTTTTACGTTACATTCCCCCAGACAGAAACCTCATGCTTCCTCTAGGGCAGTTTCAAGGTAAAACAAACACTAGCTGCAGCATATGATAACATTGCTCTGAGTATTAAAAATCCTCACCAACAGTGAAGTAATGGCACTAGTGAAGATTGAAATCCTCCTTAAATATGCTAGTTGTTTTTATCTGTGGGAATTTTGAGCCGTGAATATGTTTCTCCTGCTCCATCCTCTTCTCTTACATTCAACTTAAGGAGAGAGAAGGGAGGAGGAGTGTGCAGTAAAGTGTTGATGCATAGCTGTGACCTAATTAAAAAAAAATCAGACATTAGATAACATGATTGAGAGCGGCCACATGGAAATAAATTGTCTACATGATAGTTTGTGGCTTCTTTGTTCAGCTAGTTATATGCAGTGTATATCTGATCAAAGTAGTAGACTTCACTTAGTTCTTCATGCTTAATTGTCCTTAAGATTACCTGTCTCCTCATTTTCACTCTCTTTTCCACACTGTTTTACATCTGCTCAGTTAAACTGCATAACTGCTGTAATTTAGTCCTATAAAATATTATTTGAAATCTTTGGGGTAAGCCATTATTTTCATCAACAATGAACATGGGAAAATAGTTACTAACTCTTTGCACTGTAGTAACAGGAGGAACAGCAATCACCTGAAGCGAAAGCAATCACTGGGTAGCACCTGAGTGTATACACATGGATATACCAGATACATGTATATCACTGTCTTAGTGACAGTATTGCTTGTTGGCCTTAGGATTTGATAGATGTATTAGACTATTTTTTCTTTTTCCTTCTTTTTTTTTTCCCTGACAGTTGATCTTATCTCTGCTAGCAGTAATTCCAAGGTTTTTCTCTTAAAAGCTAATTGAAAAGTCCAGATATACACTATCTGTGTTAAATTAGTGCATTTTAACATAATTCTTGATTTTTTTTTTTTTGTTTTCTGATATTTTCAGCCCGAATCAGTGTGTCTGATCCCTGCTGATAATCCTCTTGGGATCTGCAGCAGCAACAAGTGCACATCTCACATCGTTGTTCAGAAGCAGCAGTGTGTCAGTGAGCACTGTGTCCTTTGTCACGGTCTCCGAGGAGCACTGCATCCTTACACAGGGAATACATGCGCTGTATTTCTGCATTTCTAAGCTTTGGGACAAAGATTTTATAACTTACTTGTGGTGTAGGGCTGCCTTAACAGCAGCAGTGAAAGTGGATTCTGACAAGAGGGTAGGACTTAAAGGACACACAGTTCTTTGTCTTCAGCACAGTAATCCACAAATCCTTGTGTTCAGAAGGGGCTTCAGATAGGATATCCTGTTGTGTCCAGCAACAGCACCAGCAATAGCTAGTGATATGGTCAAGTTCTTTATCAAATATGGAGTGATTTTCTGCCTCTGCATGATTGGTTTCTCTACCCATAGAGAATAATTATCTCCTCCTAAGAAATACTTTAATACTATTGCACGAAATAAGTTTTCTTGGCTAGATTCTTTCACTCACATTTCCAAATGAGTCTTCCAGTGTATAAATAATTTCGAAGGATGATGATGTTGCAATTCTGTTCTATACATAGGAAAGAAGAGCTTTAAAAAAGGAAAAAAGGGAGACTCTCACATGCCATCTGGAGGTATATTAGAAGTCCTCATCAAAGAAGCAAAGAATTTAACAGCGGTGAAATCAGGAGGCACATCTGACACTTTTGTGAAAGGGTCTGTGGTATTTTAGGTTCGAATTTTTTTAATGGCTGTGCTGAATTATGTTTGACCGACTCATTTTTTTTTTTTTCCAATATATCTGTACGTGTATGTATGGAGTGTCAGTCCTGAAAAACAAATGGCAACTTGAAATGGTATGCTGAAGAGAAGGATGTTGTCAGATAAGGGCAGAGAGGTCCGAGTTGTCCCGGTGATTAAACAGAACAGTTTTTAAGTACCTCTCAGTCAAGAATCAGTATGTAATCTGTATCACTTACTCCCTTCATACGTAATGCACACTGTTGTAGAATACAACGTTTGGTAAAAGAAAACCCTTCCACTGAGTTGGCAGAAAGAAGTAAGTAACTATTTGTCTCTCCTGGAGGCAAAAAATTGTAAAGTAGGGCTTTCACACTGGAGACTATACCTGATCTGATGGTGACATCTACATTTTCAGGAAATTGAAATAGTATGCATTTTTACTAAGAGGAATAGCCAGACTATGTCCTGAATAAGAAACTTGTTTTCAGGAAGACGCAAGTCTGTTTGGATTTCTTGTAAAACTGCAAATAACACCTACAAATGCTGGCATGCTCCGTCAAGCTGAGACTCTTTCCTATGGATGTCACCTGAAACATGCAGAAAGAGAAAAATCATTGTGTGTTAGGAAATTCTGTTTTGATTCAAGTAAATATGCTAAATGAGAGAAGATTTTTCTCTCTTACACTATAAATAGTTTTGGTTTTTTTTTTCTAATGCTTAATTGGGAAAGCTCTTTGGCATGTAGTACAGTGTCAAGGAGCACATTCAAACCCTGAAGGTTCCCAGAAAGTCTATCACTGACTTCACATGTAGTGTCTTAACACTAATTGTGTTTAATTGTTAGCATTTAATAGTATTTGACAGAAGATGTTTAAAAACTTCTCTTATGGGGAGCAGCTGAGGGAACTGAGGCTGTTCAGCACAGAGGAGAGGAGGCTGAGAGGAGACCTTATCACCCTCTAAAACTAGAAGAAGGTTGTAGGAAGGTGAGGAGTCAGACTTTTCTCTCAAGTAATAAGTTAAGTAATCACATCAAGTTGCACCAAGATTGGATATTAGGAAAAAATTCTTCACAGAAAGGGTTACCTGGCATTGAACAGGCTGCCCAGGGAAGTGGTGGAGTTGCCATCCTTGGAGGTATTTAAAAGACAGGTAGATGAGGTGGTTACAGACCTCTGATTTTCAACTAGAGTGCTAAGTTTTGTTTACTTTCACTAAAGGAATTCTCCACTAAAAGTAAAATGTGAAGAACTTTACAGCATTTGTGTTCCTTCACTCAACAGGGCTTTAGGCTACTCTAATGATGCTAATGTGTTGAAGTTCCTTCCTTATCAGTAATTTTCACTTCTTTCTGGAGGATCTTCTGTCCTGTTTCAAGAGGAACACTGGACAAGGTGACTCCAGACGCCCCTTTCAGCCAATGTTTTTAAGGTTCTCTCTATATTTAACCTCGCTGAAATAAAAACCTTGTGGTTAAGACCCAAAACTTGGGTCAAGCAGACCTAATTCCATTCTCTGCTGTTGATAATTGATACTGTAACTATAAGGACAAACAGAGCACAAACACAAAATCTGCACTTCAGATATACACTTAATTTAATAGCAGTGAGGAGATGGGGTCCTGATCCCATTTGAGCCTCTACATGATTGTAATTCTTTGTGAATGTTATGTGACGACCTGTCTACGTATTCAATTTTCCTTTTCTCTATCTCCCAGATACTTGCTCCCAGATGACAGCAAAGCTACAAAACACAAAACTCCCATAATTAAAAAGAGTGTGAACCCCCAGTGGAATCATACCTTTGCTTTCAGTGGCTTGAATTCAAGGGATATACGTAATGCCTGTCTAGAACTGACTGTGTGGGACAAGGAGTCGCTCTCCAGCAATATTTTTCTAGGAGGTGTCCGTTTGAGCACTGGAAATGGTAAGGTCCCATCTGACTGGCAATTGCATTTCTTACTCTGCTCTCCTCCTTCTCCACTCCACATGATTCATGTATATGAGGGACAGAAATGTGACTGCATGTATGGAAAGTATATGGGAACTTGGGGAAACTGAAAAGGGAGAGAAGCCAACATGTAATCTGTAGATCTAGTTCTTCTCTTCACTGAGACACACAAATTTGGTGCCCAGCTGTACTTATGTGCAGTCTAGAAGAACTGGGAATACCTTGGAAGTATTTCTTAGCATCTCAGTGAGGAGGAGGAGACTGCTTTTGTCCAGCAGCAGCCATTCTGCTGAGGATGCTGTGATCTGGAAGAAGTGTGGGTCCATTCCTCCTCTGTTCGGTGAAAGTTGCTTTTGGTGCAGAGTGGGGAGGTTTATGTGCCTCTGCCCATGTGCTACAAACAAGTATCATGACAAAGAGGTCCTCCCCAGGAGCTACAGTGCAAATTGCTTGTCATCTTCTTTACATGCAGTTGGACCAAATGAGCAAGGATATTAAGTAACTGCCTACTAATATGTCAAAATGCCTCATGTTTTTGCAATTGCCAGGTGTAAGTAATGGAAAAGAAGTTGACTGGATGGACTCTCAAGGGGAAGAGCAGCACCTCTGGCAGAAGATGATTGACAGTCCTGGAGCTCCTGTGGAGGGGATATTAATGCTGAGATCCAGCATGGGAAAGCGCAGACTCTGAAAGACTTTAACTATTGAGGGGTACCACAGGTGCTCCTGACTTCAGTGGTGTCCAGGCTCTTGTCACTTTGCCCATTTGAAAGTGAGGAAGGGTTGTACTCTTTGCCTTGGGTATTAAGGCTTTGAGTGAAGTTTTAAAGCATTATGCACTTTCTTGTACACATTTTTAACCCAAGCTTCTCATACGGATTTTGTTTCTCTTGAAGCCAGTGAGAACTTGACCTTGTACAGAGATCAGACTGGCTTTCTCTGTCCGTTCTGGTGACTGGTGTGCAGCTGATGAACACCTCTGCCTGAAGAGGGGCATGGAGTGAGCAGATTCTCTAATTAGCCATTAATAAGTAATGCCTGGTTTATGTATCTCCTTCTGGGTGAAAGATGGCCTAAAAGACAGCAGTGATACAGCACAAGCAGATTCAGAGTGAGTCAGTGCTTTGGTATTTGAAAGATAAGAAGCTATAATGTTCTGAAGGATACCAAACAACGTTTCTTTTTAATGTTTTTTTTTGTTGGGCTGTGCAAGATAGCAGTTTTGGGACCATGCAGCCCACCAAGGAGGGCCAGTGCACAGTGGTGGACACTAGGAATAGGTAGCAGGTGAGCTGGTGTTCTGGCATTCTCTGGGTTATTTTAATGCACTCTATAAAAGGCAGACTTGGTTCAACATAATCAAAGAGCCTCTAATGAAAATAGCAAATTCCCAGTTTCCAGAACTACGTGGCATTACTATGATTTCCATTCAGTTGACAGCTGTAGCCAAGATCATTGGATGTCATTGAACAAAGGGAATATGTTCACACACCTGTCCCCATCTGATGAGTCACTGAGATGAGATTCATACTGGGTTTGGACATAGTTAGTGAAGACCTTGATTTAACAGATTGTGTAGTAAAGGGACACTATTAAAGCACATGCCAGAATTATTTGCACAGCTGTGGAATTTATTCTGCATGGGCTGGAATCCCATTCAGTTGTGCCCACATGCATTAATTAATAACCAGAGGAGTGCTTTTTCCTCCTGAACATCTTCCTGTGAGTTAACAGTGGATTTAGTGATAAGAGTGGGTTCTGGCCAATTCAATCATTAATCTTATTAACTATGAAAATTGTTCCACGGTAATTTTGACATTTGGCTTCCAAAAGTGATTTTACACCTACTTTAATTGCCCATCTTTTGGGGACTTACACAGGTCTCATGTGAAGAACATGCTGTTTTGAGTAGTTGTTGTAGGCTACTCCTACCATCATGAGATAGGATTATAATCTTCTTTCAAGAACTGCACATGTCAGCTTGCAAGATTGGATAATAATATAATTGCACGACATGTGATTGCTCAAGTTTTAAGACAAAGGAAGACAAATAAACTGAGTGAATAAAGTTTCTTCTGAATTTTCCAGAATTGGAGCACAGCTTCCTATCTGAATCGGTAAATTCACTTATAGCTATTCTCACCTTTTTTATTTTTCCTCCAAATGTTTTCTTTTTGGAAGCAGTGTAGTATTAGTATTATGTGGAAACATAGTTCTTGCATAAATTACTAGAAAAAAACCCCAACTTTCAAAGAATGTGTTGTTCCCTATGGATCAAAACACTAGTATTCGAAGATTTCTGTGAAGACTGAAGACCATAAAATCTAACTTGAGAGATACAAATGTTGTTCTTCACAATCCAGAAACTGCAAGAAATCTAGAGTGAACTGAGAGCAAAGTAGCTAGAGCTGGAAACTTGGACATCTGTGGCTGTCCTAGTGTACAATTATGCACATGTATTTAAAACTGAATCCAAAACCCTAACATTTAATATCCATTCCTTTTTTTTTTCTCTTAAATATGTTTTATACTGGTTTTGGTTTGAGTGATTTGAAACTGTGGCTAAGTTTACAAGCGGTCTTTTGAAGTCCTAATATTATATTTTTTAAAAAGGTATTTTTGTTAAAAATAATATCTTAGTTTTATTAAAACAATTTACCCCATTATGAATATTTTCTATTAAAATTCACACAAAAAGCCATTGGGAGTACTGCTTGTCCAGTTTAAGACCCATAATTTTCAGAAATCACCAAGTCATCTTTGAAAATAACATTTCTTTTAGAGAATCTCAGTTTGGGAACCAAAAGTCAATAGTTGCTCAAGAAAACAGACTTCATTTTTCTTCTTCACCTGTTCTTTGTTTTCTGCTCAAATTGGGCAGTGAAGCAAGTCCAGTCTAGTTTTTTTAGCTGCCTTTTCATTTTATGCCACAGATGCTCTGAGCTGATAAAATAGAGCACATATACCAAACACGTGGACTTCATTACCTTTTTCTTATCATTATAGTCTTTCTTTAGGTATTAGATTTCTATTTCTTTTTGTTTTTTTGGTCTCAGCATCCCCCAAAATGAAAACAAACTTAACTTTTGGCACCTAAGCTACATCTCTCTTTAACAGAATCATCTGAGTTATCTTGGTTGTTTGTACTGCAAACCTGCATTTATTTTGAAAATAATAACATTATATTGACATGGAGGCACAAGCTTGATTTTTTTCACTAGCTGGAAGTTGATTCAAAAAATAGAAAGCTTGCTAATCTAAAGAAAATTATTCTTCAGGGTAAAATTCCAGCTAGAGTTGTAGAGGAACATTGGGCAGATGCTTTGGTTTTGCTTCATTTTGATGGTGAAAATGGGAAAAATAAGACAAAATATCCTCCAAGTTGGACCCCAAAAGGGAAATCTTCTTTTGCCAAATTGAAAACCTTAAAATAATTTTGAACTGAACTAAATCTTTTCCTTTTACATGAAGTACAAGAGTATGTCCAACGGTATTTTCAAACCTTCTAAGCATGAATATTTTGGCTAAATCAAGTCTTGCTTTGAAAGAAGAAAGCCTGTGCTGTACTACTTCAGCTTCTTCCCATTTTGGTCCTATGGCAGAGTTTGCGATGAATGGACTCATCTGGGAAGTGTCCCTCAGCTCATGCATGGGCTTTAAGTTCTGCCACTTCCTTCCAAAGGGCCACAATTTCACTATGAGCCTGGACCTGAAATCATAGCCTGGGCTATGAACAGACTTTAGGTGTCAACTGCAGTTCAGCATATTTGAGGGACAGTTTCACCTGGGAGGTAATTTCAGCCAGGGTGGGGGTGTTTGGCAGTAATGGGATTTGGAGTAGTACAGGGAAATGACCATCACGGTTAGCAGTGACAATTCTGCATTACGGTAGCATATAATAGGTATCCCACTCTGCCTCAAATGAGCCTCAGAGAGATGATGAGCATCAGAGAAACACTAGAGCAATTTGGCCGGCTTTGCTGTTCTGTGATGTTAGCGGCACATTTGTACGAAGCATTTGATTTGTGGAAAATGTCACATTTAATTATATCTCTTGTGTCTTTGGTCTCTTCTTTTACAAAAATGATATATGGTTTGGGAAAAGCACGAGATGATTAACTGCAGATGTGATTTCTCGTTTCTCAGATATTTGAATTAATTGCCTATAATTGTGCATCATCACGTCCTGTGTGTTACCAGGCTGAAGAAAAAGACAGAAAGACAGAAATTAGGCTAAAGCCTTCCCTTTGTATGTATGCTTATGGTATTGAAGGTGCATGAATAGTTTATTTAAGGCTAATTCTTAGGAGAAAATAGCCACCATTTTAACTGTTTCATAAACTCTTGCCCTGAGTAACTAGGTACAGCAGAGCTGGTGTTTCTGAAGTATATTTCCACATAGACAAATAACGGAAGATGCATCAGTAGAGAAGAAACCTTCTGTACAGTGGGTTTTAAAAATGTGTTGCACAATGCATTGCGCTCAGATATTTTTCTAGCAAAGTAACTACAGGAAAAGATCACTATCTTTTTCCCCTTGTGATTAAACTTTGAGGGTTTGACCCATTAAAGAAGAATAGAAGTGCAACTTTTGTTGTAAAATGTGAAGGAGGGTCAGTAAATTTGTCTTTAGATAATGTGGTTATTGCCAGTATCCACTAAAAAAGCCAATGCTGAGGACTCTTCAAGACTCTGCCATCAAACTTTGATGTTCAGACCTGTTCTCTGGAAGTTTCTCTGCTCAGTTTATCAGCTGTATGGGGACTTCAGGCTTCTAAATGTTTATGCTCTTGCTTGCATGCTTAGATGCCAAAAGCAGGCTAAAATAGGTTTGAAATGGCCTCTCCATTTCCTCTACCTCCATGTTGTTACGTTTGAGCAAGGCTGGGAGGAAAGCTGCAAAGACTTTGAAGACGCTGTTGCCATCTTCCTTTGCTAATCCAAATGCCGTTGCCTTCCTTGAATGCCTTTTAGATGCCACATTTTGATCTTTTTTTCCCAGCTGGATGCTTTAGCAGGTGGTTTGAGAAAGAAGGCATTGGAATGGTGAATATGTTCTGATCATGGTGCATTAGACTGGAAACTTGCTCTTCTGTGCCTCTTCCACTGCAGATTATGCTAGGTAGCATGAAAGAAACATTTTAATGTATTTTTTAATTTACTTTTCCTGCAGCATAGCAGCCATTGAGCATCCATTGCTGGAGCTAGATAAGGAGAAGATGTAACAAGAGGGTTGCATTTAGACTGGCATAAATTTGGCTTCTTGAGGGGTATGCGTATTGCCCAACTTCAGGCTTGTAAACCTTGTGGTTTGCTACAGAGTCAATGAAGAGAAAGACTACTTGAATCTTCTACATCTTCAAAAAAGAGCTGAGAGTCCTGTTTCCACAGCTGTCTGGTCTGTGAGTTCACACAAGAATAGTAAGGGTTGTACCCGAATCTTTGCAAGGGTCGCTCTTCCCTTCATCCCTCCCTTCAGCAACCCTTCCCAGCACGTCCTACCTGAATGTTAATCTCCAGTATCTGGAAGGAGGCAGGATGAAACAGTTAAGCAATAGCCCCACTTATTTTCATCCATACAAGGTAAAAACTGAAATTTTACTCACCTAATATACAGTATTGATTTTCAGCACTTTGCAATGACAGAAACGACTGTCTCCTGAGAGCTGGTCCATGGAGTTTGTGAATTTT